TTATATCTATTACGTAAGATACAGTTTGATTTAAGTAAAGGTGATAGATAGATGTATTCATAACAGCAAGCATTGGCTTGTGGGCAGACATTGTTCTTCTTTCTGCCTGAAGAAATCTTTTAAATGCTATTTGATTTATGCTATATCTAAAGTTCAAGCTGAACCTTTCTCATAGCTGTTCAAAAGTTTCCTTGGTGCAGTAATGAGGAAAATATTTATAAAAATCAGTTTTACAAAGCTGCTTTCATAAGCTAAGTTTCTGTTCCTTTGTTTTTAAGCACCAAGGAGATCCTGACCTAGCCAGCCTTTCTATGAAACTTAAACTACTATAAGGCACATGAATTCTATCTTTATTCACTACATGTATACTATCTTTATTATAAGCTTCTGTATAAGGCAAAGGAAGATCAGGTAATCTTTTCATACTATTAGCCCCCCTAGGTGGATACCAGAGTTTTCTATTTATCCACTAGGCCACAAAAGGAGGCCCTTCTATAGTAGGCACAGGCTTATGAGTAAATTTCTTATCCTTTACTAATTTTTCTACTAACTGCGTGGGAACAGGAGTATAAACTGGTTCTAGTAATTCAGCTTGTTATAATTTATTCATAATATCTTTAAGAGGCGCGTCAAAAGGAATTTCCCTTAATAATTGTTCAAATAAAGGGTTTACGCATTCTGGACACGTCAGGGTGACTAGAGCTGATTCCATACGCGGGGAATTTTCTATGCTTTCCTCAGAGCCAATTTTGAGGAAATCCATTTGTATAGCGTTTACACTTACTAGAATTTGTGCTACCCAAATTCCCCCTATTAATAGGATCATTTCTAAGAAACCAATTATCCCTAAACACATGCCACGTCCTTGTTCTTGACAATGCATTCCTTGAAGCCTCTGTCCCCATCTCCGGACCTTGTCACGCAGTAGGGTAGAAAGAGGACATGGCAGTCATGGGCAATCTGGTGTCAAAAGGAGCCCCGGGCCATGCTGGACTTCCAGGTGAAGATCCTAAGACAATCCTATCTCATCTCTTTCTTCCCAGTTGTCTCAATGAGAATAAGCCCTTTTCTGGCAGGGGTGGCATTAGGTACCAGAAGGTGGGGACTGAGGTCTGAGCCGTAGCCAAAGAAAAGACCATGGGTGAGGGCTGAGAAAACCACCCATCCCTTAAGTCAGTTGTCAAACATAACTCTGCTTAGTTCTACTGTCATCCCTGGGAGGCCCTGGGCAGAACTGTGAGGCTGAGATACCGCCTGATTTCCTGCTCCTGGAACTTTGGGTGAAGAAGATTGTTCTGTGGAAGTGATGTCTGATCACAGAACCTATCGATAGTCAAGGGAAGAACCTTAGACGAGGCTGATGGGGACACCCACTCTCGAACAGAATGATCTCAGCAGAGCCCCATCCTCCTGTCACCCTTGGGAAACCGCAGATGTGACAGCCCCTTAATTCATCTGCAGTGGTCACAGGGACAGGACTGTTTTGTGTGAGGGAGCCACATCAGGTCAGCAGACGGGAGGAGTCTCACATGCTGTCAAGGGTCAAGGTGTAGTTGTCGTTTGAGCAAAGACCATGAAAGGAGATGTGATTTGGTCTTAGGGGGACAGCCTCATTTATCATGGGGGAGGTCACCCAGGCCCTATGGACTGCCTAGGTAATGAACCAGAGTGAGCCCCTCAGAACAGAAATGGTTCTACAGAGCCCAACCACACCCACTTACTGTCATGTCTGAGAATTCTCAGCCTGGTTGGCCAGCTGCCCCCTGAGGAGTATTCAGAATTCCTCCTTCATGTTCTTGGGGGACACAGCACCCAGGAGGTCAGGAGACCTGTGAGGCACTATGGCACTGTTCTCAGGGGAGGTCTACTGGAGGTGGCTTTCATCAGAGCCCCCACAGTTGAGCTTAGTGGCTGAGGCCACTCACATCTGCAATCTCTCTCTTAGGTGGTGATTCTCCATTGCTTGCCTTCCTGTTTACACTTATTATTGCCAGCTACAGGAGTCATGATGCCTTTTCGTCAGAAGAATCCACAGTGCTCACCCAAGCAATCCCGTCGGAGCCACAGTGCGATGCAAGGCCTGGAGGTTGCACAAGTCTCCAAGGCTCTGGAGGAGACCCATCTCTCCTCCCATTCTCCAGAGCCTGGCAATTCGAAGGAGGCTCGTAGTGCTGGTACACCTCGCGCTACTAAGGGTCAGAGTTCACACTCGTCTTCCATTGCCTCCACTGCCACCTCATCGAGCCATTCACGTGTGGGCTCCGGTGGCCAGAAGGGGAAAGCTAGCACCCCCCGGGCCAGGCCAGGCCCCAAGAACGTGCCCATAGATGCTATCGATAAGCATGCAGCTTTGTTAGTGAATTACATGCTGTTCAAGTATCAAATGAAAGAGCCAATAACCAAGGCGGATATGTTGAAGATCGTCATCAAAGAGTACAAACTCCACTTTGTTGAGATCTTCTTGAAAGCCTGTGAGCGCATGGAGATGATCTTTGGCCTTGATGTGAAGGAAGATCCCACCAACCACTGCTATGTCTTCCTCATCAAAATGGGCCTCACTTATGATGGGATGCTGCATGGTGAAAAGGGCGTGCCCAAGACTGGCATCCTGATCCTTATCCTGGGTGTGATCTTCATGAAGGGCAACTGTGCCACCGAAGAGGAAGTCTGGGAAGTTCTGAGCCTGACGGGGATACGTTCTGGGAGGAAGCACTTCATCTTCGGAGAGCCCAGGGAGCTCATCACCAAAGTTTTTGTGAAGGAAAAATACCTGAAGTACCGGCGGGTGGCCAACAGTGATCCTGCAAAATTTGAGTTCCTTTGGGGCCCGAGAGCCCACGCCGAAGTCACCAAGATGCAAGTCCTGGAGTTCCTGGCCAAGGTTCACGAGACTGACCCAAGTTCTTTCCCATCTCAGTATGAGGAGGCTTTGCAAGATGAAGAGGAGAGGGCCCGCGCCCATATTTCAGCCGGGGCTGTCTCTGCCTCTGTGGGCAATGCCGGTTCTAACGCCAAGTCTAGCAGCTTCTCCCACACCTAGGGCAGTCAGGGAGAATTTCCTCCTGCATTGTTTGAAGAGGCAGTCAGTGTTCTTAGAATTTAGGTCTGAGATGGAGCCGAAAGGAACACAGTACATGTGCCTGTGTTCCTATTTTATATGTGTAAGTTAAAAATGTATCTTATTTTTTAAAGTTTATGTTGCTCAGCTGTTTGTTTAGATTTAATTAGCTTCAAAATCTTCAAGTTTGTGGAAGATAGTGGTCAGACATTTCATGCTCTAATGAGGTTTCATAGTGAGAGTTCTGTTGTTTTGGAAAGCTGATTGTGAATCCATCCATCCTATGTTGTCATCTGGAATAAAATAACGTGGCACTGCTATAGGCATTTTCCTTGGAAATGTAAAGGAAATCAGCCTTAAAATAGTTGGGATCAATAGAGAACAATAGAGAAGAAAATCTAAATGATATTGAAATCTTGGCTTTCTTATTTTTTTCAGGGCTTGTTCTGTAAAAGTAAGTGATGCGTACATGTATTTGCTTAGCTCTTTCAAGAATGTAGCAGAAATAAATCTTAATAAATCACACCTGATGCTCTCTGGCTTATTTATTCCCCAAACGGTCATTGAACAGCTGATCTTTGGAAAGCACTGCACCAGTACTGGGAATGCTGGAATTTATCAAGTCAGGACCTGCTCATTGAATTGTAACATAGAGAAGCAATAATCCTTTAAGGACACGGTGGGATCTTCTAATAAATACCTAAAGGAGAAGTAAAACGAAGGTGTGAGTTGGTAGGTGGACAGTCCACATGAGACTGTCAAGGTGTTTATGCAGTTAGGAATGGCAGCGTGGGGCTTGGGGAAACTTCAAATCCTTCAGTGGGATTTAACTTTCAGATTAAGCTAGGGTAAATGGTGGGTCGAATGAGGCTGAGGGCAGCATGAGTGGGAGCACACACATACAGATTGGGTGTCTCAGGGTTGAAACCCAAAGTCTGTAGTGCCAAAATGCTGTAAACTCTTACCGTTGGATCTCAAGCACACCAGAGACAAATTCACACCTGGTACTGGAATCAAGGTGTCCTGCCTTCCTGTCCCCGTGCAGTGGAACACGGTGCACAAAATAATTGTTCCATTTATGTATATTATCTCTAAGGAGTTTTCTGAGAGAGAGAGGGGGAGAGAGATAGGGAGAGAGGGAGAGAGGTGATACTCCCTTGAGATTTGACACCCAGAAACCACAAGGCTGGCACTCTGTCATGGCCTAGGAGACTCAGTGCCCTATTCATTCCAAGGGAAATGTAAGCTTTATTCAGTGTGATTTGGCAAACAATAAACAGGCTAAATTTTGGGTAGGGGAAACATGAAGGAATAGGGGCATGGGAGGTGGGTTGGAATGGAAGGTATAGGGTAGGAAAAATATTTTTCCCTCTACCCTTCTGGTATCTTGGCCATGACCCTCCACCCCACCATGTAATAAAAAGTTTAATAGGAGATAAATTTAATTATGTATGTAGGTACAGGAGCTGCTCAAGGATGTGAGACTCGAAGCTAAGTGACCAAAGCAGGAAATGTTTATACCTTTTAGACAAATCATAAATTTGTAAAGAATTGATGAGGTAAAGTGGTTTGGGCTTAGGGTAGTAAGTTGGAGAAGAAGTAGCAAGTTTTTTTGTATGCAGCCTTCTAGGCCTTAAGTACCCTGTCTCAATGATAGGGATGCCTTCTCTCTTCCTGGCATGGGGCAGGCACATGAGAGATTTATCTCTTGCTTTCAGGGGGACAAAGGAGGGTCAGAGTATCCCTCCTGCACCGGCTGTTCGACTACCTTTAATTCAAAATAACCAGTATGCCAAAATGACATGTTTTGGGGTGACATATTCTGATCTCTTACAAAGGGCAGCTGGGAGGGAGGTGAGGTGTTGGTCCTTGACACAAACTCTGGGAAATCTGAATTACATGCAGCTCGTGAGGACATTCTCACACCCAAATCAAAGGACAGAAACTCTGAGAGGAAGATTTTACAAAGTTCTTGCTGAGGAACATTTTGGTCTGATTTGGTATGCTATGTCCTGTAGCACTTTGTTATCTAAGAAAGCCTATAGTTAGAAAACACATTGGTACACACGTATACAGGTGAGGGTGGTAGGATTCGGGATCGACACAATCATAGTAATAATTCTCATTCATTCAAGTCCTAAAACATGCCAGGGACTGTGTTCTGTGCTTCAGATACTTCAAATTCATTGCAGCAGTCCTAGAAGGCAGGGCTTATCATACCAAATTCACATATGAAGATCCTCAGGCTCAAAGAGTGTGTGCTTGTCCCGAATTTCACGTGTCTAGAATGTGCCAGAGCTGGAAGTAGACCTCTTCTCTGAATTCATCTTTAGCCCCTTCTGTTTCACTCTTCTCAGCCTGGGTTAGACCTTCTGTCTCTTAATTTCTCTTCTCACTATTCCTTACTGCCTCTCAGGTTATAAAAAGAAGGATGTTGTAGCCGAGGAACTGAAGGCAGGTTTAAAGGAGGAAGTTTGAAATCAGAAACACAATGTGGCCGCTGTGTTTCATTTAACTAGGTATGTCCACTCCTATGCCCCAGGGTTCTTTGATGACTCTGCCTGGGAACTGGCATTTTTATCTAGCTTCACCCATCTCTGCATTACAGTGCCCTTCCCCTGGGTCTTCCACAGTGTGCCCTCTTGTCGAAACTGGAACTTTGACGCACTGGCTGACTCTTCACTCTTACTCCGAAAGCCACACCTTGTCCTCAATGCAAGAAAGAGGACAAGAATCACCTGCCCTCCTTCTGACTTAAAGCATTCCAACTCCCTGGTGGTCCCTTCTCTCACCATGTACCCCAATGATAGCAACATCCTGTTCCACATAATAGGTAACTTTGACATTGAAATTTAGACCTGGCCACCCACTGGGAATCTCCACCATGTTCTCAAAATGTTTTCCCTGACACCTTATGATTATGGTCTGATATATCATACAGTTTACAATTAGGGGGTATAAAACTGAAGTTGGAGAGGGGGTTTTGAAACCACCCTGATATTTACATTAGAATTTGAATGAGCTTTTGTTTTGTTTTGTTTTTCCCCACGACTGGCCACTGAACACATACACCTATGAGCTTATCTATGTGGTTAATAACCAAAGCCTCCCTCGTAAGTGACAGTTGAAGAAAGATCCAGGAGCATGGAAATCACTGCCTGGGAAGCATCTACTGAAGATCAATTCCCTAAAGTCCCTGGAGTCCTTCAAGAATGTGAAAAATTGTTATTGACAGACATGCCACCTTCGGTTAGCAAGATCAAAAGAAGTCAGTGTCCTTCTACTGCCTCTGGTCTAACTGCTTGACCCAGGAGAAAATCCTAGTTGTCCCTTATGCTTAATGTCCCCATACAAGTGTTCATGCAGGTTGCATCATCTCGAACGTGGCAGAAACACATAGATTTTGACCAGGCACAAGAAGGAAGAAGAAAAGTTCTTATCCTACTCAGATTTTACAAGTTATTACATAGATCAGTGCAGAAAGGTACTACAGAGTGAAGAAGGCAAAACCCACCCAGCTGATATTGTTTACAGGATCTTTTTGAAAATTTGATGTGAGCCAGTGTTTGGAAGCAACTGTCATATAGTAGGATCTCAAAAACGTTGGAGAACTGTAAAGAAATTTGGCCTCTGCAGAAACCCTACCAGGAAATAAAGAGGATGGGCATCATAAAACCTCTACTAGCAACATTCTATTGAGCACCTACATGTAACACTTTATGGGGGAGACTGCAAGTGCTCATCTAGCATCTTGCCTTCCTTTCCTTCCTGGGCTCCAAGGAAAACTTTTTTCCAAGTGTACTTGTAGTTAGAAAGAATCATGTGACCAGCCCTTGCCATTATTCTGCAGAAGCATTATTTGTCATTTCCAGGCCTAAACCTTTCATATCTGGTTTTCCACCTTCCAAGTTTCTTCTTCTGTCAGTCAGTAAGCATGGAAATCCTGTGTTTACAGCGTAGACCTATAAGAAGCAAGCACCTGGGACCCCTGAGTCATCTGTTAACACAGAATGTCTACCAGGCCACATGGAGAAATAAACTTTTAATGTGTTAAGCTGTTCATATTTCAGGCATTGTCCATTATATCATTGAGCAGTAATTTTTTTCGGTTAAAACACAGCTACTGTGTCTGCTTTTTGGCTTATTGAAGTATTTTAATCACTAAGATAACTATACATGTATACTTGTTGCAAGAAATTTTAACAGTACTGAAAACTGACAGTTGTCCCCCTTTTACAGCCAAAATTCTGCCCCTTCCTCAAAGGCGAACAAATTAACATCAGGTATATATTATTTTAAAGCTGATCCTAGTTTTCTTTTCCATATATAGATGTACTCTAAAAATATTCTGTGATATTTCTCACATACATGGGTTCACTAATCTTTTTCATTCTTTCAGTATTCCAAACCAATATAAATTGTTTTCTCAGACATTGTAGTTTTCCCATCTTCAGGTTCATTATGGGTCTTTTTTATACGTTCCATGTCTCCAACCAGTTTAAACTTTCTTCTTGAGTCTTGAAAAAATAAAATACAGTCATAGTAACTGTTTTGATGTCCTTGCCTACTCATTCTATTACCTGTACCATTTCCAGGTCAGTTTAGATTGATTAATTTCTCCTAATTATTGAAGCGGGTTATATATGCCCGCTTCTTTGCATAACCTTTGACTGGATGCCAGATATTGTGAAATTATGATTTTTACATTGTTCACACTCATGCACAACAAATGCACATTTAAAAAATACATCAGTATTCTCAAGCTCTGTTCTGTAATGCTATCAAGCTACTTAGAAAGAAAATAATCTTTTCGGTCCTTGCTTTCAAGCTTTGTTACATAGGTCCAGGGCAGCATTCATAAACCATGGCTTACGTCACTACACTACTGGGGCAAATATTTCTGAGTACTCTCTCTGATGCCCCATGAATGATAGCGGTTCATCACTCTGACAGGAAGTGCCCCCAGCCTTGTATGGGCTCTT